GAAATGATAACGGTAACGGTCGAATGTTCGATGACAGTTACGCGCGGAAAAGTTCGAATCTGACCATAAATCCCATATATTTTTTGTTCAAAGGATATCAACAGAACTATTAATTTTTTCGTTAATTTTATTTCGGATTTAGTTGTTTTGTCATGTATCTTATATGATTTATTGCTTGTTGAAAAAAACACGATTTAATTTTTATTGTATTAGCAATTATACGTATGTAATTCGTAATGATCGACACTATACATAAGACTGAAATTAGATCGATCAAAATTTTTTAAATATGCATGATTCACTTTTTTCATTTTTTAGAAGTGTTCCAGATTAGATTTTTATTATAATGGGTCGCATTGATAAAAAAAAGTGTAATTAGTTATGATGTGATCGATCACCATCTCTAATTCAAACAATCACTGTAACGATAACTCAGTCTAAAATTTCGCCTATTTTTAAAGTTTGGAAGTTTCGATTTTCGCAGGGGTTTAGCATTTCGCCAGGGGTTTCATCTTTCGTTTCTCGCCATTACATAAAATGGCTTCGCCTAACAACCACATCCCGGATCCTTCTACGATTTCTCGCTTTGAACAGTCGGATCATAACGTTTTTCATTATACGGGGAAAACTGGTATGTCTAAAATGTGCTTGTGGGGATGAAACATGGCAAGGTTTGATATTGCCAAAGTTCAATCTAGGCCGTACTATGCAATGATTATTTTAATATCGTCCTTTTTTGAAGACAATAAACTTCCAGGGTTATATATTGGTCGCACTAATCTTGGGAGACGTTACATAGGTTATATGGTGGATCAACCCCGCAAGATGGCATGGAGTTCTCAATTATAACGATCTCATCTTTTATCCAGTATATTCACCAAAAACCCACGTATTGGTCCATAGAATCCGTTGAAAAACGAGAAAATACGCCAATATTTTCAAACCGCGGAATTAAAGCTTCAGCGACTATTAACGAAACCATTAATGATCTTTTGATAAAATCAAAAAAAAAAAAACTTTTATGCCATTTTGACATTCCGAGAAATGACATGGTGTGGTATTCAAGGAATAGAAATAATATCATCTTAATGCTTTAAAGGCATATTTACGGTTGAATACGTAAATTCATCCAGGAATAATCAAAGTGATAAACCCATTTTTATAAAAAGAAATTTATTCCAAATTTCTGGATTTTATTCGGCATAGTTGAATTGTTCAACTGGGTATAATATTATTGAATTTTATTTTAGATAATAATGATCCATTCTTAGATTTTGAAGTTATATCTGGGCTAACATCACTTCAAATTTCTGGTTCTTGGTTGAATGCATCGAATCAACTCGCTATTGATGTAGTTAATTATAGTATGTGCTTTAAAAGACATTATAACTTGATCGGTTTTTAAATTAATATTATATGTGCCACCTATCATCATCGAAACGTTGGAAAATCAACTTTTGCTAGATATTTGCTTAACAATATGCTTAATTTTGTATGGTATCAATTCGTTTTTAGACGATCTGCATGATAACAAGTGTGTCAGAAAATTTTAATTTTTATAAATTTCTTACTATAAAGTTGCTTATATTGAAAGCGATGTTGGACAATCAAAATTTACGCCATCCAGACCCGTATCTCTCAAAATATTGAACTCATCTATTTTTGTTATGTATTTCGACTTTTTCGTCTCTTTCTTTTTTGTTTATCTTGCTCTAATAAACAATTTATAAATAGGACCGCCATTTACTCACATCCAACAACCTTATAAGTCTTATTACATTGGTAGCAATACTCCTCTTGACGATCCCGATTATTATTTGGATTTTTTACGTGAATTGATAATCGTTTATCGTCATAATATTGCATGTGGTCCAGATTTTGGCATGCATGTGGACGAAGAGGTACAACGCATTCCATTAAAAATATCGAGACTAAATATTCTTGTGAATCTTATAGGAATGTGATATGGTCTCTTTCTTCGTATCCTTGACTTTACTAGGTCAACACATTTATTTCAATTCTATTCATCAATTCATTTCTTCCACCATTTCCACTTCTGTCATATCCCCACCAAATGAAGATCCGCCTAAAATTGCATTGGTTGAAACAATTGATCCTTCTGAAATTTCAACTAAATATACATTGCAGATCATCGTACTTTAGCCTTTCTTATTTTTGTTCTACGACTGCTATGCTAACAAAACAAGAAAATACCAAATGGTGGCAATCTGATAAACCATTGATTCATCATTTTCAATGGTGTTTGGACTGGACCAAAGGATTGACTAAGGGAGTTTTCGTTTTCTCCGGAGATGTTCCTTGGAGTCAACTTTTGTGTGTGTTAAACGATTCAATTGTTGGTTTAGTTGGGAGTATTTAGATGTAGATGAAAGTTTGAAATAGTTAATGAACCAGAAACATCACAAGAAAAAGGAATAAGTATTGTACGTATCCTTTAACAATTATGTGTTAATATGATCTAATCTAGTAAAACTAAATGTATTCTAAATAATAGCAGCCTCTGCGTTATTTTCCATGTCCGGATTATCCACTCCCAGATCCCCCTGAATATACATTTTTAGTACTTGTTATTATACGATCTATAGATCTAGTTGCTCACACCTTTCATATTCTAACACCACTTTCATATATAGAGTTACAGAAAACAAGTCTCATTGTAAAAGGGTATTAGATTTACCTACGTGTTTCATGTTGGATCATTCAAATAATATTTCAACTGGTGTTTGTGGCGTGCCGCTCAAAGAGTTAGAAGACGAAGTAAAAATAAATAATAAAAAAAAGTATATATATAGTATTATATAGAGATTTTATCTTTTGACAATTTTTGAAAACTAAAATTTAAAAAACTTTATTGAGAAAATATCAACTGTACTTATAAATTGTAAAATTCCAGTGTTTTATCTATTGTCTGAATTAGCGTTTAATATATTTCTAACTTCTGAGTGGTTGTAATTAACCATTGTAAATAATAAAAATATATAATTTGAATCGTGGTTCTTGACTAGTGAATAAAATTACATTTGTTAGATTTCTTTTAAAAATTATTCAATTTTAATAAATGATAATATATATATAAGTGAAAAGTATTGTTAAGTTAAACCAGAATGTGCAGGATAAGCATATATATTCAAGAACTCTAAATATTTTATGTAACAATTGTGTAGTTATACATCATAAGAATTACTTAGGGAATGAAGGTCTTTCTATGGTTGATTTTTTTAATTTTAACTTTTTATAATTTTTCTTAAATATATATGTCCTTATACTTAAAATTTAACAGAAAATGAAATTTCAATGGACAAATTATAACAAATTAGGGTTTTTTTAATTTTTATTTAAAATAATTTTCTATATTGATAAAATTTATTTTTGAAGCTATACAAAGTCAACTGATTGTTTTTTATAACTCTCTAATATTAAGAAAGTATGTAATTGATTTCTTTTTTAGAATTAGTAGACTTTTTTTTTTTGCTTTTGCTAAAGCTATCGCCTTTATTGTGTTTTTAATTATACATACATATAACTTGTACAAAGTAATTGTGCAACTAGTTACATATGCAACTTTTAATCACCTATTTAAGTAGTTCATCCGAAGGTTCTATACTAGTTGCCATACCTGTAATCTGCTAGAAGATTACCTATTTAAACACTCTGATTTCCGTACTACATCAGACAAATAGTTACCTGGGTTCTGTACAACCAAGTGCCATCTACCCCAATATTAAGCCTTTTTTTATGTACATCTGTTAGGTTGTTATACATTTCAAAACACTTCATCCGATTGTAAGATTTCAGAGTATTCTTTTGTTAACTACTTACCTACTCTATAGAACATTAACAAGACTAGTTCTTGTAAAGTTTATCTGAACTTTAGCATCTACTTCACAGCATATCTCTAATATTTTTAGTATATTCTTGCTTTGTTCTCAGACTATTAATCTAGATAGCTTAGTAGAACTATAACCTGTTTTTGGTATATTGAGTCAGTCTGATATTTTTTTTCTTTAGTTTGATTTTAGTAACCTGATTGGTAATATCTTTTATCTTGAGATTCTTGCCTATTTGGTTTTTTCATATTAGTATCTGTTTTTCAAGTTTAGTTTTTATAGTAATATCTTTAAAGATCTGTATTACTTTCTATATAGATTTTTCCAAATAGTTTTAGTTTTTCTTAGTTCTATGAATTTATATGATCACAAAGACTTATCTTAGATTTGCATCATCTAATACTAGTTTATATTTCTTTGTGTAATCTTAATTATATAGATGTTTTATATCCTAACAGTTTTACTAGTGTGATTATAGTTATAGATATCTTATTTTAACTGATTGACAGAAAAGTTATTGTTATAATACATAAGTATTATATAAATAATTATCTAAATTTTTTGTTATCAGTAGGTTTTGAACTCTTAATCTGCTATTTAAGAAGTTAATAATTTATTTACTTTACTAAGTTGCTATACTCCTAATTTGTAAAATTCAAATAACAAAAAATATAAAAAGCTTTACTATTTAAATAAAATTTTTTTTTGATTTTTTTTTTTAGACTTATTTAATAGACTAAGTTGGTTATATTTAATTAATTATTATTTTTAAGTTGTTTACTTTAGTATTTATAAATTAATATTTAAAATTATACTTATTTAAATTTTTTTTTTTTTTTTTTTTTTTTTTAATTTCCACTGCTTGATCGCTAGTGGTCCGCAGCTGGCGGCTGTT